TTTTTTCTCGTTTACAGACCATACATGCGGTGACATACTGCAGTGCTACCGTCACTCGTCGGAAATGATTGGGGTAAGTCGCATGTCACTTGTCACTTTGACAGAATAACCCATCTCCATGTTGTTGTAGATAACCATGACCGAGTCGCTGGACAGTCCTAAAATGGACTTTGCCACAATTGGCGAAGAAGAGTTCGAGTTGCACACCACATATATAGTGCCTGATTTGCCGGTTAAAGACGATGAGCCCAATCGGGCCGAAGCCACCCTGCCCCGCAACTTGGTGCTGAAGCCCACCAACGCCCTCTCGGACGTAAGTCAAATTTCCCGTTTGTTTTGGGGATCGGTTTCGATTGACAGTGATTGCCATTGCAGGCTCAGGGCGTCTGGAGCACCGGCTACATCCCACGGGGAACGAGGTTTGGCCCCCTCGTGGGAGAGATTTACGCCAAAGATGCCGTGCCGTCGACAGCGAATCGCAAGTACTTCTGGCGGGTAAGTTGAAGCTGTTTTAAGGGGTTGCGACGTTGTTTTCTGGCTTTTGGTGCAGGTGCAACTGAGAGAGGGCTTCTGTCGCCATTCCGCAAAGGACTCAAAGGTAACAGCGGGGCTGAGCTCCCAAACCTCCCATTGCATGGCACAATGTGTTTTTCAATTAAACGCATGCTTACCACAAAACTTTCCTTTTGCCATCAGCGGCAATTGCTTCTCTAGAACCTTCATGGTTTTCGACGCTTATTCTCTAGCCGCTATGGTCCAAGGTTTAGTCGCAGTGCTCCTATACAGTAGACTGTTTCTGCTAGAGAATAATCGACCAAACCTATAAAGGCTTTAAAGGGGCAAGTGATGAGAGTGGCTGGGCGATTCAACACTAAGAGCATTTTTCCGGCTTCGAGGTTTTCTCTTCGGCTCTTTCTTTCTCTTCGAGGCTTCGAAAGCCATTTCAGCCAAGGTCATTTTGGGCAAAATAACACCGAAAGGGATGCGTGAATCCCATTGGAAGCAATTGCCTTTAAAACGCACTTTCTTTTCTTTTTTGAGCTTTAATTTCTCACTTTCCCACTAGGATTGTCGCGCTCAATTCCGTCTCCAGGGGCCTCTCGGTTTTCAACTATTATTCTCTAGCGGCAATAGTCCAAGGTGTACTCACAGTGTTCTCGGCATTAGACTGTTGCCCGCTAGAGAATAATCGTGGAAAACCATGCACTCTCTAGAGCCGCAACTAAAAGCTGCAGTTTCAAAAGTGGGGGCATTTCTTCGCGATCAAGAAATTGTATGGATTTTGTTTTTTTCGGGTTAAAAATGAAGCTAATGGTGTCGTAAATTCGGGGCTAACTGCTCCAGATTAGTGTTCAATTGTGGACTGAACTAAAGCATTAAGTGCTGCTGGATGATTCCCATTCGAAATAGTTGCTTTTTCGAGCTTTTGCTTTGTCCGGCGCCTCTAAAGGCGCGGAAGTTTTCAACGATTATTCTCTAGCAGCAATAGTTCAAGGTC